TCATGAACATAGACTAGCAGTGAAATATGATATATTACCACTTATATCAATCCACATATGTAAGTATGGGCACGAATTATGTTCGGTAAACGTAGAAATTATGAATTGAGGAAGTTCTGAGAATGAAAGACAGTTTTTAAAGGCAACAAATTCAGGTCAATCTTCTACAAGCACGAATATCAACACAGACTCAATTTACCACACCATACGAAAAAGAATCAATCAGTTACGTAACAAGAAGAAGATTGATTAAGACAAGAAACCATAGACACAAATAAAGGTAGTAAAATGTGCAAAGACAAGCAGTCATAAAAAATATCATCAGAACGGACTGAAGATACCACAGGTATTGTATTTTGACAACATTTTACCAGTAACACCTTCTATGATTGAATCGCGACCACCACGTGAAATCAGAAGCGAGGAGGTTGAAAGATATATTTGACACATTGTCAATATATCGAGGAGTGACTGATCTAATCTGGCTAGTGATCGAAGGAGATGTTGAGCACGCCGTTCCAAACCGTAATCTGGTGCGGATGCATTACCGAACACTTTCAGCTAGTTGATTCCATTAAAACTAATGTAGTCAGCATCCAATGTCGAACACTTACAGAGCTATTGATTTTGGGGATTTATTTACAGCTACAGGACTGATTTAGCACAAGTGAAGTAATTAAGTAGTTCACTCCTGTGTAGTAAGCGTTAATGATATTTTCCAGAACGACATCAATAAATACTCCAGTTCACAGAACAAAACACAAGCTAGAACAATCACTTGGGTTTTGAATAACATTTAAACAAGTATTGTTCTTAAATATTAGTGCGACTTACCACCTCGTGTTTGATTAAACGGTATGTTGGTTACTAAGCTACTCACAAGTAATGTTAAATAAAATTTTATAGTATTACAATTACCTAGCAACACTCCGGAAATTCAAAGTCATTAGATCATTGAATCAGTGTTACAACAAATTGACTGAATTTTTGCATGACCATTCAAGATCGTAAAATGACTGAAGTTAGACTTGCACACCATTTGATTTCAACTCAACACTTGCTGTGAGACTGAACGTCCCGCGTTCACTCCCAGGTAGGGTCGTGGATGAGTGCTGCCGAGGGTTTCCGAAATGGAATGAAACAAGCTTTCAGTGGTTCCTTGTTTTCAAAGACCATTTATGATCTAGACTGCAGACTTCGTATGCTCAAAAAATGATACAAACAAAATTCACATTTCTTTCACAGACGCTTATTATTTTATTCGCATAGACTGAATAAATACGCTTGAAAGCTTTTAAAACTTTTACCATTCTTCTGTAATGTTGAGGTATAGTCATCAACGATGATAAATGTATATGTATCACTTGTCATTTATTACTTTTTTTAAGAACTCAGTTTATCAGAGACAGTCATAATAGAAAGCGGTGCTGATTAAGAGAATAAACTATTTACAGTGATCTAACAAATAACTAAAAGAGTTTGCATAAAATATTTATTGCAGAGATCCGATAAGAGCACACAAATCTTTAAATAGAATACACGTGAATCTCCTTAGATGTCCAAAATTATAAGTATGTATCTTGAGAATTAATTATACCAGTAGGACTTCTAAGGATACTAATGGTCCAAAGTACGAGTAAAGGAGGAGGGTTGGACATCGAGTCGGCGACACCATCTCGTAGAAAAAAAATTGTTATAAAACGCTAACCACATCAAACAAATTAAACCATTTAAACTCTGTCCTCTAAGTTGAAAGAACAATTATGACGCAACATGATGAAAGCCGAGATTCTTCCGAAGTCACGAGGCCAATACCCCTTCCAACAACTAATATACGTACATGGAATGTTCGAACAATGTAGGAGACTACAAGCACAAATCAAAAAGCTAACTAATCGGGGAGATTCAACTTTGTGGTGCTAACAATCAGTGAAACCCATTCCATTCAAGTTGGACAGAAAACGACAGATTAAAGACATCCCGTTGTACAAGAAAATGCTACACACACGTAGGTAATTGATCTGATGCTGTCCAAAGAAGCACGAAATGCACTTATAGGATAGGAATCTCATCGATCCAGAATCATCAGAGCATTCTTCAAAACAAAGAAGAACGGAATCACAATTAATGGTATCAAATGTTATTCACCCAGCAATTATATCAACGACGACAATAAACAGCAGTTCTATGAGAGACTGCAACCAATCATAGCGAAGTGATCAGGAAACAAACTCACAATCATCATACCACACCTAAACTCCAAAGTCGGAATACACAATATCGGGTATCAAGACATCATGGGACGACATGAACTGACTGGTAGAAATGAACGAAAATAGTGACAGATTTGTATATTTAAGTTGATCCAACAAAATCGTTACAGAAAACACAATAGTCCCACATAAACGGATATACAAAGGTGCAGAACTATGTGAAAGATCTAACAACGAAAGTGGAAAACGCTGCAACACAAGGAAACATCAAACAACTGAATGGCACAACGAAGAAACTAGCAGGCAAATATTGTATACCAGAGTGACCAGTCAAGGACGAAGAAACCAAGCCAAACACTGGGATTTAAGAACAGATGGGTAGAACACATTAAATACCTCCTGAATGGGCCAACTCCACTGAATCAACTGGACATCGAAGCACCACACACACACACACACACATCTTCCTATCAATCTCACTTCACCAACGATCGAAGAAATCAGCATGATCATCAGACAAATCAAGAGTGGAAAGCAATACGATCTGACAATATACATACTGAAGCAACAAACTCACACATAGAATTAACTACAAACAAGATCCACATTCTATCCAGGAAGATTTGAGTGGAAGAACAAGTGCCACTGAGACTGGAAACAACGATGCCTCGTCAAGATATCAAAGAAAGCAAATCTGAGCAAATGTGAAAACTACAAACGCATCACACTGCTGTCAGTTTCAGGAAACGTTTTCAACAGTTTTGCTGAACCGAATGAAGGATTCAGTAGACACCCAGCTTTTAGATCAAAAGATCGGATTCTGTAAGGATCCGTGGTGCAGCATTCCTACAGTTGAACAACATATACAACTCAAAACAACTGTCTGTCAACCAATATCAAAGTCATAATCTTCAATACGAAAGTCAAGACAATCAGCTCTACTGAGCGAAACTCAAAATTCTACAACTACTATAACCATCATCAAAATAGTAAGAGTATTTGTAAACAATTGTCTACCAAAGATACCCAATGCCTGTTGTTGACCGGATACCATCAGCAACAGTCTACTTTTGCATAGAACAAACCGGATTCCAGTTGAAGAGGAAATCAAGAAATGAAGTTGGAGATGGATAAGACATACGTTGCGTAAATCGTCAAACTGCATCACGAGGTAAGCGCTATCATGGAATCCTAAAGTGAAACGAAAATAACGGAGACCAAAGGACACACTGAGCCAGGAATCGCAAGCAAACATGAAAAGGATGAATAACAATTGGTAAGGATAGTGCAGGACAGAATTCGACGGGGAACGCTGGTGGGGTCCTATGCTTCTACATGAGGGGTAACAGGTTAAGTAAGCACTTTGAGAATCGATTGCTTCATTCGAACTTCCTGTTGTTTCTTTATGATAAATAGGTCCAATTAGAAATCGGTCAAATGATAAATGCATGTGACTAACCCACAAAGGACCTTCACTCCTAAGGAATGAAACAACATTGATGACTTAATTTTCTAAGGGCATATGTATATATCCCCAAGAAAATTAAGCTATCAGCGGTTTATTTATCGTTCCAGGAATGAGTGTTCACACATGTTGACCTACTTAGTTCATAAACCTCTTTTCTCACCCTCGTGTATAGGAGGTTTGCATATTAGTATCAGATACGGACACTGAAAGTAACAATATTTTCAACAAATTACTCCTGAAAAGCCTAACAATCAAAATGCCTTCAGCCAGTCAGTTACGGGTATGAGGGCTAATATCACTTCCCGGTTGCCCACACCGTGGAGGAGTAGTTCTTGAGGGACCTGAAAAAGAAGTTGGATTAGTGTTGATCTTAACGACCTGGAAGCGTGACCGCAGTGCCCAAGAGACAACTGCTTGAGACCGGTCACGCACGGCCTTTTTGTGGGGGATTTTTGACGTGTTAGCTCCGTTCTTCAAAAAAAAACCTTACCGCCGGAGACGGATATCCGTGGGATAAGGCGAGGTGTGCATTTTTAGGGTCGACCTTTTCTAACCCCACCCTTCCTCGTGGGAAGGCAGCATTGCTGTTATGCTGGTTGTCTGAAGGAAACATCTTACTGCTGTCACACCTCTGTACAGTCAGCAGTACGACTTCGCCCTCAGTCCTTGGGTTTGCCGCTCTTCAACCGACCTGTCTGGCATGGCAGGACCTTGAGGAACGATTGTTCCAGCCAGTATAACTCGATTGGTTCATTACGATAGGCAAGCCCGACCACCGCGTCAAGGTAGCAGCAACGGTCGGGACCAAAATGTCTTAATCACTTTTATACAAAACAGTGGTTCCCTTTGATAAATTTGAACAGAGAAATGAGAAGACAAATTTTGTGAGATAGTACTATTTCGTGCCTTCTCGTCAGTCACATACAAGCAACATGTTATTCGTGTAAATACAGTTTTGAAGATAAGGTCAAAATTTCTTATTTAGCATGACATTCACTCACTAGAACTATGGTAAACAAAGGTCAACGTACAGTTGTTTTTGAACACATAAAGTTGGACTTTTCCGACCAATCAAGATAGCTTCGAGTAGTTTGAGTGTGTGTGGGTTTTGATGACATGTCACAACTCTAAAGGCTGATTTTGGGTCAATTTGATGATCACTCATCATTAGATGTTTTGCAATGGACGAGGCTGGGTTTCTTGATCGATCTTGAGATGACGGGCTAGGTGGATGAATCATGGATTTCATTAACCATCTTGGAATATGTTCCCCTATCCCTTCATACAAGACATTTAAGATTGTTTTAAATAATACCCATTAAAGTAGCACCTCACTATAATTAAACACAAATTACTATTACAAACCATTATTTCATTAAAGAAAAGATAACAAAAGAAATAAACTGAGTAAACTGATACATACGCGCTAATCAATCATTCAATTTAAGAATGCAAATGTTACAAGTAAAGTAATAATATTAAGAATAATAATAATAGTAACAAGTTGTAATATTACTAATAGCAATAACAATGACGAGTTTAACAACAAGTAGTACCATATGCAATTCATAGTTACATAACCCATTAAGAATATAAATAATAAATAGTGTATGTATATATATTATACTTGTACACAATTTTATCACAGTAAAGTAGAGATAAAGAAGAAGAAGAATGAGAAATGCAAATTCATGACTAGTAAAATTAGTATTATTACTTAAAATATTCAAAATCATAGAATATCAGTAAAAGGAGAATATATATATATACCTACTTATGGAAACTACGTATTTAGTAAGAATATTGTGTAGAAGAGAAGAATAAGCGAAAAAGCACACGATGAATGTTATACATACAAATTAAAATAATCCCTAGAAAGTAGTGAATAGTTGTGTATATCGTATTGATTGAACTAGTGTAATAGATAGAATTGGACTTTTTCAAAGAAGATAAAAACATTAATATTGCATGCATAATCTAAGAATAGTGTGTTCTTTTTTCTTAATTAAAAAAGAAGAAGAAGTTAATTTAGCGGAAAGAGAGAACTAGATAGTAACAATTTTTCTGTAAATAAGTAAATAAATAAACAAATAAGTTAATAATTATTCTAAATAAATAGATAAGTGATATATTCACTAGGGACGGTGCTTTTCTATTATGAGACAACTTTCAAGAGAATAGGGCAATACAAAAGATAATTGAATTGACACAACAAGTAATATTCACAGAGATAGAGAGAAATTAGTTTATGGGATAGTATAAATGTTAAAAGAAATATCATGCATTAATTTCACTCTTGGAATGATTATATTTATGTACATATATCTCTAGATAGCTATCTACATATATATGCAGACTTACAATTATATGAAGTTAAAAGTAAATGTAAATAGACAAATTAATAAATGCATCATTACAAGGATATTCTGACAATAGAACACTGAACATTAAGTAAAAAAGGTTACTATTATGGATATTACATGGTGTATTAAGGAATAAAAGAATGTAAGTATTGAGATATGTTTTCCTTTTTTTCGCATACAAAGTATACACGCAAAAAAATGATTTAATAAGATCATTTACTATGAATTTCGTGAAGACAGAAACGATTGTGAAATATATATACATAACTTCTTGATCTTTCATTACAACTAGAAACTTTTTAAATTTACGGCGTATGTGAAGTCATGATTAGGCTATTAAGTGGTACTGTACAACAGTAATCAGGTACAGATCTGGAGCGATGCATAACTTTACGAGGAGATGTACATTTAAATTCACTTTGCCAAGGTGACCAATGAATATCAGCTTTTTGTTCGACAGTTGGTCGGTGATCAACGCTAACAATAGACGATCTACAAGATGGCATGAATATACTGTGATGAGGAGTTGATGTAGTAGGTTGAGGTGTATCTGTTCGATCATTTTGTACATTAGAAGGTACAGGTGTATTTAGTACACGACCATTAACCATATATAAACCCTGAGAATGCCGCTTGCGTAGACGGTGTTGGCGATAAAGCCGGTGACATTTCGCACAAATAATACATGGTACAGCAACCATAATAAATGGAGCAGCAACCAGTAATAAAATCGTTAATCCAGTAAATACACTGACAACCTGATTATAGGCGCAAACATATACATGAATAGACAAGATAATAAAGTCTAACAATATGTGAAAGAAGACTAGTATGGTTTACAGTTAATCACAACGAACAAATCGAAGAAATTACTAGCTTTACAAAAATAATCAATCGTAATTGGATTAGTAATGAAATCAAGAAGAAAAGGGATAGGTTGATGTCTGTACACACCTTTTCATGTTATCTAATGCAACTAGTATTTGTAACTTAAGAGTTAGACGCAAACTTATTGGAACCGCTAACTAGGATGTTATATATTCAAATTAGATGTTTGTCTTCATAACGTTTATGCAGTTACAAGTTTAAAGACAATCAGTAGAAAACTTTGAACCTGCGTTTGACACTAGTTGAGACTCATTAGTAAAGGATATTAGCAATAGTGTGAGAAGTGATGCTTACCTAAGACATTTGAACATGTGTCACTCACTGGGATGTTTGAGCAGCTTATCATCATAAAAAGAAACTTAAGCTATTAGAATATTGCAACACGAAGGTGGAAACCCTCACTAAAAAAGCAGACTTATTACGATAAAATCATTCCGTCAAACACATAAAACTGAGGAAAATATCTTAAAAATCAAATTGCAACTATGCCTAAAAGTCAAAGGTAAATATGGAGTATTCCACACAAAAAAGACAGCAATTATAACCTATGAAATGAAACCTGACGTTAATTTGATAGAGTAAAAAATATCGAAATGCTATTATTCTATACAACAGTTTCGTAGTAAAGTAGAATTGCTATGAAAATATACAAACCTTGATCGATATAAATACTTTTAAGCGTTATTAAGTCATAGGTTCAAACTCTGACCATTTAATTCAACCTGGGAAACCGCGTAGTACCACTAATCATTACATAGCTATATCGGGCGTACTACTAGGCAACTTAACCAACGAATGAGTGAACATATACCAGCATGGTTTAGGAAGGGTCAGATAAGAACAATACGCAGTTCTATCATGGCACATCTAATTGATAGTGGACATAATGTAGATAAATCGAAATCATTTCGAGTGATCTGTCGTATACCTCCATCATTTCCCAACGGAGTTCGTTCCCATCTCCTTCATATAACTGAAGCCATAGGAATTCGTACATTTCACCCCAATTTATGTGTATAGAAGAAATTTGTAACCCCCCTTATTCCTTACATGGCCGGACATAACTTAATGACATTATTATTAATATTTTTAAAATTTTATTTTTAATTTTGTTATCATTTTATAGAGTTGAGATCATGAGTCAAATGAAGCTAGACCAGGTTTTCCATGGTGGTCTAGCTTCAATTGACTCATGATCTCAACTCTATAAAATTAATAAAATCTCCACAAAACCCCTTTAGTTATCAATTGTTTGTAATTTTCCGCCTCTTTCCGTTTGTATTCTTCACTATCTAATTATCTACATACTTCTTATAACGTAATGATTTTAATGTTTTGTGATGATTATTCTAAGTCTATTTGACCTCCTATTTACAATGTTTAACTATTGATAAGACTTTTGTTATCGTAATTTAATATTCTTACAACTATCAGTACACCTGTCTTCCCACTATCAACTTGTACTTTTAACTATTATGCTTGGTGGCATATTCTATCTCATTGTGGTTACTGACTCAATTCGCTTTGATTGGTTTAACATTTTCGCATAAATATTCATGTATATTAGAGTAAAGCCTGATGACGATTTAGTTGAAAACAATTGTTGGCTTACATGTGTTGTTCTAATTTTCACAATGGAAACTATTTTTTCTACATTAGAATAACTTACATAAACTCGATGACCAATTACTGATGCACGGGAATGACCAAGTTTTCCTTTGCAGGCCCCGTCATCATAATGTTGAAGAAGGAAATCATCCTGTAAAATAAAGTATCAGCGGAAAATTTTTTTGATAAATTACGCTGACAAAGCATTAAGTGATAAATATTACAAATAATTCCCATTAAAACGTTAAAAAAACATGAAGTTCAGCGAAGGGATTACTAAATTAACAAAGGATTATAATGTGTATGGAGTAAGACAATTAAAATGTCTTTGTTACAAAAATTAAAGGAAACAGAGGGGTTAGATGAAATGAAGTGATATCGGAAACAACTACGAACAAAATCATGGGTATATGAGAAATAATTCAAGAGAGATGGAGTTATTTTCATATACGAAATATATTAATAATAATAACACATACAAGCTAGTAGTTATCTGGACTCAGTAGCTAGATTGACAACGTGATGGCTTTTGAAGCAAACGGTGCTGAGTTCGAGTCCCTGAGTGAACATCATATCTAAGAGGCAAGTATATCTGGCTAATGAGCTCCAGATAGGACGAGACGCACGTCCTGGATCCCATTGCTGAGAAACATTTATCCCTGCTTATGATGCTTGTGAATTAAGAGAATATCGAGGTAATCCATACAATTATGACGCCACATGATGAAAGCCGAGATTCCTCCGAAGTCACGAGGCCAATACCCATTCTAATAACCAGACCAACAACTAATAAAGGTAGGTACATGAATTGTACGAACAATGTGGGAGACTACAAGCACAAATCAAATAGCTATCGAAATGAGGAGATTCAATTCCGTGGTGCTCCCAATCAGTGAAACCCATTCGAAACAACGATACCTCATCAAGATATCAAAGAACGCAGATCTGAGCAAACTCATCACACTACTCTCACTACCAGGAAACGTTTTCAACAGTTTTGATGAACCAGATGAAGGATTCAGTAGACAACCAGCTTTCACATCAACAGATCGGATTCTGTAAGGATCGGTCGTGCACAAACTGAATCGCGACACTACGGATCATCGTTGAATAATCAATTGAATGCAATGCACCAATATGCATCGAATTCCTTGACTGTGAGGTGTTTCACCGTGTGGATAGGGGAACATTATGAAACCTTCTTCGACATTGTGGTACACACTCCTTACTCTCACACTTCCTCTCTATTCTGGTGGTTCACTAGATTATGAATACCTGCACATCTCAGAGGAAACACGGAATACAATGGACAGCTTGGATGCAACTAAACGATTTGGATTTCACATCACCTAGTCAGTACTTCTATACCACACACACCGACAAATTCACGTCAAGGCAACAAGTGTAGCAACAACAACAACCTCTGTAGCAGAATACATCAACATTCACAACGGATAAAGCAATATCCTCAAATGCAACATGGGGAACACCAACACAATCAATCACGCTTGATGAAGAACCTCCGTAAGTCGTCGAAACTTTCATTTACCTAGACAGCAGCATCATCGATGAACAAGGACGATCTGGTACAGACGTAAAGACAAGGATTGGCAAAGAAAGTACAGCATTTCTACAGTTGAACAACATATACAACTCAAAACAACTGTCTGTCAACCAATATCAAAGTCATAATCTTCAATACGAAAGTCAAGACAATCAGCTCTACTGAGCGAAACTCAAAATTCTACAACTACTATAACCATCATCAAAATAGTAAGAGTATTTGTAAACAATTGTCTACCAAAGATACCCAATGCCTGTTGTTGACCGGATACCATCAGCAACAGTCTACTTTCGCATAGAACAAACCAGCTTCTAGTCGAAGAGGAAATTAGGAAAGGACGTTGGAGGTGGATAAGACATACGTTGCGTAAATCGTCAAACTGCATCACGAGGTAAGCGCTAACTTGGAATCCTGAAGTGAAACGGAAATAACAGAGACCAAAGGACATACTGAGCCGAGAATTGCAAGCAAAATGAAAAGGATGAATAACAATGGTAAGGATTGTGCAGGACAGAATTCGACGGGGACCGCTGGTGATCGGCTTATGCTCCTCCACGAACGTTAACAGTAAGTAAGTGATATTGTGTCTCACTCAAAGTGCATCAATATCCTATGTACAATTAACTGTTACTTTCATTATAATTCTAAAAGGTGGACTGTTAATTATTGGAATTCGTTTTTTTCTAAAATTGGAAACTTTCATGAATGTGCTTGGACTTTACTCGTAAAATTTATTTGATCGCTTCAATATTCAATCAGTACATTGAGTTCTTTGTAAGAGTTAATATTGTCGCGAACCAATGGTAATCAGTGAGACTTCAGACTTTAACTACTAGGTTTACATAACAACAATAATGAATTTCCAGTACTTGTCCTATATCTTTGTTTACTGTTATAGGTTCATAGGAAAATAAGCATACTTGTGCTAAGTATCCAAAAACGTTCTCACATGGAAACAGATATTCATGAAACTAGTTATGAAAAGCAATCACAGTTATTTCAAGTTTAAACGAACAAAGCGGTATCAGGTCTAAATATATGTAAGTGCAGATCGAACTCAATTGAAAGTTAAATGACCAGTGTAACAATATTATTTTATGAAATGTACTTACATCCAATGAAGTTAAACAATACCAGCAAAAAGTATGTTTGCACGACCGGCACATCATTTGAGCGCAACCTTCGATACGTTCAATAGGGACTAGACAGGCAGGACAACGTTTCAGCCAGTCATCAGGAGAATATGGAGGAAATCCGACAGCAAGAACGGAGATATCAATTGTATCACTGATATCCGGACTGGAAAGATGAATACCTGTATGACTCTGTAGATAATTACGCCGTTTTCTTTTGGGCCGCCGGAGTGAGATTTTATTTATTTTGTTTTTCTTTGGAGGCTTTCTCAAGGGTGGTAATGACTTTATGATTTCTGGATTTTGCGTTACAGACTGTGACTGGTGTTTCTCAAATATAATAGGATCTGAGTCTGGATGAGGATTTATATGATCAGAGGCATTTACACTTTTCTCCAAAATCCCAAGTGAATTTTGTTGACTAGTAAATTGAGTGCTTAAATTTTTATTTCCTTTGAAAACGTTACGAGGATATTCTTCACACACATACGGTCCAACTCCGATATGCCATTTTAAATGGCATCGAGCACAAAATTCATGAGAACACTGTTTGCATACGACGCGCACAGCTGGGCGACCAGGACTCACTTGACACATCAACGTTTCTTTTTCAGAGATATGGAGTAAATCCTTCTCTCCAACACTTTCACTGGTAGGTGTCTACAGAAAGAAAATGTTAACAGCTATAGAATAAATGCAGAATTTTTCAAATTTTGAAATTACAGATTCCTTCGATAATGAAAACAGCTTTTACACCTCCGCAAATTGGTGTTAAATTATGGGAAATAACCAAACAAAGACTAAACTCTAAAGCTATGGTAAAAAAGAGGTCACTTGCTAACACTGAATACACAATACAACTAAATAGCTACAGCATGTGACACATTCATTGTAAGACATCACCATCACAATTAGTAAGGTATGAGCACTTTCACAGGTGATATCATCCAACTGAATACATAACCGACGATATTACGTAAGATGCTACACCGTAGAAACTCAAAACTCAGAGTCCTGTAAATATATAGTTTGGTGATAAAATAACCAAACCCAACGTTTTACGCACCAAAACCAAAAAATTCGCCCAAAACAGGCAGGAAATAATATAATTAGTTCATTTGATCAAATTGAATAACGAAATAATGCTTACGGTTACGCAATCTTCTTTGTCTTCATCCCTGAGATTACTGATAGACTTGTAATGTGTGTTATTTGGAATTTTTGATGTGTCATCGGCACGAAAACTCGTACTTTTGATACTGGGAGAAACATGAGTGGTAGCTCCTTGTGAACTGCAAAAATATCTTCTGTACCATCTAGTAAATCTTTCCAGAGCATGTCCATTTCTTCTGGTGGATGGATTTATTCCATTTGGTATGGGTACTTTTAAAATAGAAGGAACTTGGCACACAGCACCACAATTTATTGCTGGGCAAAATGTCAGGTTTACATTCTGTTCAATTTCTGAATTTTTGTTACAGTTGGAAAAATGGACAAACTGACCTCGCTGAAGCTTCTTTACAGAAAAACGTTCGTAAACGTCAGGAGGCAGCAATTCCCTTATCTAAAGTAATAGAAATTTGAATAGCTGAGACACTTTACCTCTGAGTCTGTCAACTGACCACTTTGACTGCATGGATAACTAGGACAAGCACAATTAACATCAACTCGATCTCGTAACACTGTAATAACATACGTTTTCAGGCACTATGGAATAAAAATATTTAAACTCAACGCAAGCTTTGATATGAATATATTCTCAATCGATAAGTAAACAATTATAATAATGGAAGCTTTATAAAGCTCCTAAAACACTTAGATTTTACGACCTCTAAAAGTTGTTCAGATACACAGCTGAATAGAAAACTTCAATGTAGCAGGAGGTGGTGCTGCTATAAAACGATCATAATCTACCGTTATAAAGAGCCTATTTATTGAATAAGTCATCAGTATATAAATCGGCTATGTAGAGCCTAGAATAATGATTGGCATAATCCACACTTTTTTCAAAGCCAGAACGGCATGTCCTTTTATGTTCATTCTCCACCGAACGCCTGAACAGTGACAATTATATTACAGTCTTTGACTTCCCAAAAAGGATTCTATCATAGGATTGTCTGTTGAACGAGGAAGTCTCAAAAGTTTGTTAACATAGTCAAAGCTCATTACAAAAAGTGAAAACATAGTACGGGAAAACAGCCTTCTTTCCAACGATCCGAACCAAAAGTTTTTTTCACAAGATTACTTCGTCGTACTATTCTTTTAAAGCTTTGTCATCAATGACAATCTGTGAACGGATCTGAGAGTATTACATAGTGGCGGTTTATATATATATATATATACATATATATATATATACAGCACTTTAGTATTATCAACTAACATGGTCCGGTTGCAATCACTGAAACCTAAACAACTTAGAAAAGAGGGTCGTGTTTGAAGCCAAGAGATTCAGGTTAGCCCTCTGAAAGAGTACCAACTTTAAATCTCTTAATAGCAACTAATGAAAATGTAGTTATGGAAGCCTAAACCCTGGTTATAAATAACAGAATCACAATAACACAGTGACGAAGCATTCGTTGGGTTTTTATTAAACTATTTAGTCGTTTAATATATATAATGCAAATGTCTTCGGATTTTTTGAATGGTTTCTTTTTATTATCAGTCAATTATTCATCTGACTAACCTCAGCTAGCTACTTCGAAGACTTTGAGAGGAATGTACTGAGCAGAAAAAAAACTACTCGTTTACATGGTTATCAGGTACTTTATCTAAACTGTATCTAGCAGCCCAACTTTTTCATATACTCAAGCATTTTGTTTGTAAACAAGCTGATTGATTAAACCCTTGATTAAGTGCTTACAGAAACTTTAAAATACTTTTGTTGACTGAAAAATCTTATACATATGTATAAAACAAAACTGGACTATTTGGTTCAAGTCTAGTGCATTTAGTAATAAATAAGTATTCATTTACGGCCAAATAAACTAACCTGACGGCAAAAAGAACACCCGCAAGCAGAAAGAAATAACATGTTTTCATATGGCACTGCATTAAAGCAAATATTACAGTGTCCACACTCAGTCCCTATCATTCTGAGGACTAACCTTGACCGACCGCCATCAGATGAAATCGCGCGAGTTGAGCGGCAATATGACCTCAGTTCAAATGGTTCAGATGGTAGTAGATAGAATAGAAGAAGCTTTCGCTTAGCGGGCTTCCGTGTCTAGTAGCAGTGGATCACCAATAGCTCCAGGCAAGAACCTATTAACGATAATAGAAGGGAAAAATGAAATTGGTAAATCATAATAAGATATTATTCTTAGTCCTCTTAAAGGACTCCTGGGAAGTCACTTGAACTAGCTCAGTCGATAGCGAATTCCAGCATTTGATAACTCTTAAGGAGTAGAATTTGTATCTACAATCCGTTTTGCTATGTTTGGTCTTCAGTTTCTGGGTGTTACCCCTTAGTATTGTGATTCAGCTTAAGTAGGTGTTTAAGGGGATGACAGAAGTGTCAAGGATACTGTAAGTCATCAGAAGGTAATCTCTAAGACGACTATAATTTAACGGGTAAATGCTAAGGGATTGGAGGCCCTCTTCATAAGGTTTAAATTTGAGTCCCAGAACTGATTTCGTGTGTAGCTGTAAATAATTCCCCAAAATCAATAGCTCATTAAGTGTTCGACATTGGATGCTGACCACGTTGTTTAAGTGGACTTGTTTAGCTGAAGGCTTTCGGTCATGCATCCGCACCAGATCACGTTTCAATACTGCGTGGGACACAGCTCCTACGTTTCATTAGCCAGCTCATAGAAAAGGTCCTCGATATATTGGTAACGAATCAAATATATCTTTCCTGCCTCTTCTCGTTTGACTTCTGATTTTCTATCTGACTGGTAACAACCGAATTTAGAAGGTGCTACTGGTATCTAGTTGTAAAACTAGAATATCCGTTGCATAATCATTGGTGAACCCGACGTGATCTGGTACACCAAGTCAATATACTGTGAGTCTGTTCCATTTTGGAATATTATTATTCATTGTTATTCTTTATTTGAATTTTATATATTGTGATATACTTTTTTCGCGAATTTTTTTTTTCCGGATATATTTTAATTAGACATTTTCGTTAGCTATATTACTATGACGGAACACTCACCCAAGGTTTTTAAGTTAAAGTCTATTCCCCCTATTTCGATTCAGTTAACGCCATTTTGGCCCGACAATATCGAGTCCTGGTTCTGCTATGCAGAAGCCGATTTTTGCATGCACGGAATCACGGACTCGCGCACACGTTTCCTCGCGGTAGTTAAGGCGTTACCGCGCGAGTTTAACAGGTACGTAACACCTAGTATGTTTACTAGTGATGTTTCCGAACCTTACGAATCGCTTAAGCTATCGATTTTAAAACGAGGAGACCTAACTGATCGACAACGGTTAGACCAACTCCTTAACAATATCGACTTGCAACATGGTTCTGCGACGGACATGTTGCTTAGAATGAGAGAAGTCATCGGCCAACGAACTTTCGATGATGGCCTATTTAGACAACTTTTCTTGTCTAAACTCCCTCAACAGGTGCAGGCAGTGCTTGTTTCATTTCAAAACAATGCCATAGATGAACTAGCTGCATCTGCCGATCGAATCTTGGAAATCACTAGATCTTCTAAGGCCGAGGTTTTTTCCGTCAAAGAAAAACCCCAATCGACCTCGACTGACATGGCCGAACTATGTCACACGCTTACACGATATCTTAGAGTTCACAATGACCGTAGTCGGTCAAAAACCCCGCGTAGAAGCGTCTCACGTAAGAGATCTGGCTCTCGACCACGAGAGACAGACAATCCCGACTGGTGCTGGTATCATAACCAGTACGGTAAGTTTTCCAGAAATTGCAGGAAACCTTGCAATTATCCGACTTCAAAATCGACTGACACGAAAAACAGTTCGGGAAACTTCCCAGCCGGCACGCGTTAACGGCAACCGTAGCCGGCGAACACAGCCGCCTCTTATATGTCACGGATGTGACTACGAAAGTTCGCTACCTCGTCGACACTGGCGCAGAAGTTAGCGTTCTTCCAGCAAATCTCGACGACAGACTTCGCGAGTCTGTTTTAAGTTTACAGGCGGCAAACGGAAAGCCGATCGCTACTTACGGTAAAAGGTATGTCTACCTTAACGTGGGTTTACGTAAACCCATACACTGGATTTTCGTGGTTGCAGATGTCTCTATGCCAATCATTGGTATTGACCTGTTACAACACCACAATCTACTCATCGACACACGCGCACGAAGGTTAATAGACGGAAACACTAAGTTGTCCGTTTGCGTAACTCCTTGTTCTGGTTGCAGGTTATCCCCAGTCACGATTAAGCACGCCATAGACCCCTTGTACCAAGCAGTACTCGACAAATACCCCGGGATATACCAATCGCAATCGAAATTACCTTGTGTAACCAGCAATGTTACACATCACATCTCGACTACAGGACCACCTGTATTTTCGAAAGCCCGAAGACTCGCTCCCGAAAAACTTAGGTTGGCTAAAAACGAATTCAACCACATGATGGACCTAGGAATAATTCGACCATCGAATAGTCCATGGGCATCCCCATTGCACATGGTCCCTAAAAAGGACAGCAATGATTGGCGGCCAACTGGTGATTATCGGCGTCTGAATGCTAAAACCATTCCCGATCGTTACCCGCTGCCTCATATTCACGATTTGACAGCTACCTTGAAAGGTACAACTGTCTTTTCGAAAATCGACTTGGTTAAAGCTTATAACCAAATCCCGATGGCAACTGACGACATTCCTAAAACCGCCATCATCACTCCCTTCGGTCTTTACGAATTTCTACGAATGCCTTTTGGTTTAAGAAACGCGGCTCAAACCTTCCAAAGGTTTATAGACGACGTCTTCCGAGGTCTCAACTTCGTACATGCGTATGTTGATGACTGTCTAATAGCAAGTCCGGACAGAGAATCGCATCTCAAGCATCTGGACATTGTTTTCGATCGACTTCAAAGGCATGGCATTACTGTCAACATTCAGAAATGCCAAATCGGAACTAACTGCTTAGACTTCTTAGGACACACCATTGATGCCCAAGGCATCCGACCCCTTAGGAGCAAAGTGGCGGCCATTCTGGATTACCCAGAACCGACCACGATCAAGCAGTTGCGAACTTTTAACGGACTCGTAAGTTTTTATAGACGGTTCATACCTAAATGCGCATCCCTAATGAAACCGTTGACCGATCAGCTTCGTGGAAATGCGAAATCAATTAGTTTAGACGACACAGCCCGTAAAGCATTTTCCACAGTTAAGGAACACATCGCTAAAGCAACCTTGCTTGCTCATCAGGACAGTCAAGCGCCCATTAGTATCGCCGTAGACGCATCCGACTCAGCAATCGGAGCAGTCTTACAACAATGGGTTAACAACTCGTGGCAACCTTTAGGATTTTTCTCGAGACGGTTGCTAGACGCTGAATCTAGGTACAGCACGTTCGGTAGGGAACTCCTAGCTATGTATTGTGCTGTACGGCATTTTCAACATTCCATCGAAGGAAGAGAATTCACGCTTTTTACCGATCACAAACCTCTTACCTTCTCTTTAAATTCATCTTCAGACAAGTACTCACCGCGAGAGTCTCGACAACTCGACTACATTTCGCAGTTTACTTCAGACATACAACATATTTCTGGAGCAAACAATGTAGTCGCAGACGCCTTGTCTCGAATTAGCTCCTTGAACAGTTTCCAAGGAATCGACCTTCTTAAACTCGCTCAGCTTCAAAAAGAAGACATTGATCTTCAGCATGAGTTATCCTCGACAACTCTTAAACTAAGTATTAGGCAGATGGGAACAGGTAAGGAAACCTTACTCTGTGACACATCTACAGGTAGGGATCGTCCAATTGTACCAAAACACTATCGCCGCAACGTCTTCAATACGTTGCACAATCTTTCTCATCCAGGTGCTCGTGCAACAATCGAACTTATAGCCGAACGCTTTTGTTGGCCTGGCATGAATAAAGACGTGAGGGAGTGGTCACGCTCCTGTGTAAGCTGTCAGAAATCTAAGGTAATCAGACACAACAAATGTCCCTTAGGTTCTTTCAAAACCCCTGACGCTCGTTTCGACCACGTCCATCTAGATTTGGTAGGACCCTTACCCGACTCGAACGGATACTCATATCTCCTAACATGCGTAGACCGTTTTACTCGATGGCCAGAAGCAGTACCGATTAAGGACATTACTGCTGAAACAGTGGCTCGCACTTTCGTCGAACGATGGGTAGCAAATTTCGGCTGCCCTTCAACCATCACTACAGACCGCGGACGCCAGTTCGAATCTGGACTTTTCCGTTGTCTGACCACACTTTTAGGAATCACGCGCTTCCGAACGACCGCCTACCACCCACAAGCAAACGGGTTGGTAGAACGTTTTCATCGACAACTAAAAGCCTCATTATCAGCTTCAAACGTTTCACAGTGGACAGACGCTCTTCCACTCGTCTTGCTAGGTATCCGCAATGCAGTGAAAGCTGACATTGGATACACGGCATCTCAACTCGTTTACGGAACGACACTCCGACTCCCAGGAGAATTCGTGGATCCTTCAGCTTCTTCATTGAACATGGATCTAAACTCTTACACGAGTAGGCTTACAAACGCTATGCGTTCAGTTAAACCTGCTCACACTCGACCTCAATCAACTGATGTTTTCGTTCAACCCGAACTACGACATAGTACACACGTCTTCGTTCGTCGAGACTCACATCGACGACCCCTCGAATCAGCATACGAAGGACCCTTCAAAGTTCTTCAACGCGAACCTAAGTACTATGTAGTCGACAAGAACGGTACGAAAGATAGCATCAGTATCGATCGACTCAAAGCTGCGTACCTAGAAGGAAACCCTAGCTACGTCGATTTTCCTTCGGTACAAGCAAACGACACAGCTACTACACTCGTAGTACCCTACACGACAACCGACACACAACTTGATACTTCGTCAACGTCGATAGAAAAACCTAAAACAACGCGTTCTGGAAGACGAGTAAGATTTCCAGAACATCTTAACGAATATTGCACGTAGGACATAAGCTTTATCTTGAATTACCCTTTCAAAGTTTATTATAAATTTTTTTTTAATATGCTCATTTTTTTTATTTACGTAAAAAAAAACAAAAAAACAACATTTTTTTGAGCGTATATA